CTGAATTGACCTCTGTACCTCCGTCTGTGCAGTCACACCCTAACCTGATCTCATCAAAGCCCCCGAAGCTACACAGCGGCTCCTGTGTGTGTGTTTTTAGTGTGTGTGAGAGAAAACAGCGCGAGCGAAAGAAAACGAGCGAGCGAGAGAGAGGCACCTTTCATCTGCTAATACCTCTCATCAGTATGTCACCACCACGTCTCATCTTGTGTTCTTTTGCACTGAGCTGCCTGACTGACAGCGTGGGAGTCTAACCTGTAAGAGCTACAACTGGGTCACAGTTACGTATGACAGCGCACTATGTAATTTATATTAATCATTATCGCGTACAGGTGTAAAAGAAATCTAACTACAACTTAAGATGGAGACACTTTTAATTCATTAACTTATAATTAGGTGAGCATCAGAGACAACATCGTGCATCAACTGGACACATCTGAGTGAATTTAGGATGCACAACGCCATAACTGAGCGTAATTAATCTTGTCACGCTTTCGTGCAAAAGAATAAGATCTGGAAAGCCTGGTAAGACCTGGTTGGTATGTAGCAAGGAATGTGAAAGCTCACCGAGCCTGTTTGTCATGCAACAGGTAAAGGTCACAGGTCAGAGGTACAGTTCTACCTTTCTGGATTCAACCTTGTGCACAAACTTGACTGGTGAGAGGCCAGTCGTGGAAGTTGTTCTTACCGATTACTGTGCAGATGATTAATTACAGAGTTGTCAGAAAATAAAAACAAACATCTCAGAACATTTTTTAAGAGCTCATGGTGTCATCTTCATGGTGCACAAACAGTCCTAAACAAAAAAAGATGTTTGATTTAAGAAATAAAACAGACATAAGCAGAACATTCCCACATTTAAGCCAACAAATGGTTTATGCTGGATAAATGACTTTAAAAAGTTTTAAATTCTCGCCGCGTTGATCAAGTTTAAGGCTTGATCTGTGGTTATTGTGGACTGTAAGTGAGGCGACTGCTCGGATGTCAGGTGCGCGCTGCCCTCCAAGTCTCCTCGGCGTCGACAAGCTCGACACGTGCCTTCGTTCCTCATCTCTATCTCATTTCCTTCTGTGTCCCTTTCCTCCCCTTTCTCTCTCTCTCTGACCCAGTGGTGTGACGCTTTAGTAATCCCACGAAAAACACTGGCAGATGGCACTCGGAAAGATTAGGAGCAGTCTTGCACATCTGCAAACAGCACACATACACACATATGCGTTAAATGGATGAAATACACATCTGCATGTGCCTACACGTCCGTTTCCTCTGTCATGACCTGACTTTTTAGAACGTCATTTTTTTTTTTTTTTGCTTAACTTGCTCTAGTTGTCAGCTTTTTCAGTGCTTCAACAAAGTAAGTGTGCTATGAATAAAATGCGTTGTTATTTTTATCTCCACCTCTCTTCCTCTTGAAATCATTTTCTCTTGTCATCTGCGGAGCATGAGTGCATATTTCACACTTCGCTTTTTTTTCTCTCTCTCTCTCTTTTTTCCTTTGTGATAATTCTCTTTCTGATCTGTCGCTGCAACTTCTTCTGTTAAGACTTGAAGCACGAGGGTCCAGATGCCAACAGCGAAGCGTTTCACCCTGGCAGGCCTACATCAGAGCCGCTGTGACGCATGACAAAGCTACGCAGCTGGCATCGGCTAACACACCACCTAGCTTACACACTAGCAGGCAGTGTTCAGCGTTGTCTTCAGTTTGGCTGTGTGCTCGCAGATTGGTGGGAAACACGCAAACTTTAGACCCACTGGGGAGGCAGCTGGCTCTAACCAAGTGATGTTCTCCTCCTCTACACAACACACACACACACACACACACACACACACACACACACACACACACACACGCAGACACATACACAAATCAGAACTCTGAAAAAGGCAAGACTGCATCAGCCCGAGCTCCAACCGGGTGAGATCACCGCTGTGGTAAAAATACGGCTGTCCTGAGAGAGACATGTTTCTCACAAACACTTTCACGCAATCAATGAAGTACGCGAGCGTGCCCTTAACCCTCGCGCACACATGAACTCAGAGGCATGTGCGCACACAAACATTTTCCAACTGCCGCAACCGCCACATCCTGTGCGAATACAAATCTCAAACTAAGTACAGGGTGAAACTCAGGCGCTACCCGGATTACTTGTCTCATTCACAAACACAATTGTCCTATTGGGACACGGCTCGCTCCATGACATAATCCACATGTAGGAAGTGGTGCGCCTTCTAAACCTGAGTTATTGATTAATTGCTGAATGGAGAGAAACCTAAGAAGAGTCACCGATTGTATTCGGATCAATAGGTCGCCAGTACATGCATCTGGGTCGTGTAACTTGCCATTCAAACAGCTTATCCGCCGTCTTCCTGCAATTAATTCCCCCTAGTTTATGGGAAGTTCAAGTCAATAAAAATTAGTTTTAAACATGAACACAGAAACGTGTGTCCCTGCAGGACTTTGGCCTAATCTCCCTCTGGCACGCTTCTGCACAAGCAACAGCTAAGGCAGAAAATCCTCTTCCCCTCAGACAGAAAGCGTAGTAATTATTCTTTTATTCACCCTGTCCATCCCATTTATGGATTCTTTTCTTTTCTTCTCTCTTTATCTGATCCTCCCTTCGTTTCCCCTCCCACCCACATCACCCCTCGCTTGATTTGCAGCAGTGTTACAGTGTACACAGTGCGTGTATGTGTGGTCTGCATATGCGAGGCTGAAAATAAGTCGTCAGTCAGATATGAAGTCATCGCGGGAATTATTAGTATCATAAATCAGAGGCTCAGCAGAGGGGGAGGTGGAAAAGAAGGAGGTGGAGAGAGAAGCCGGGGGGGGAGAGGATGAATGGAGGAGAAAAGAGAGAGAGAGAAAAACAGTGGACTATTTCAAGCAGTTTTTAACATGAAGTTTTAAGAATGTATGAGGCGAGTAATGCCAGTTAAAGCCACGAATGACGGAGAAAAGGGAAGAAGGAAAAAATGAAGGGCCTCAACCTGCTCTCATTTTTGTTGTTGATTCATTGATCCATTATTTTTTTCCAGAGCTCAAGATGATGTTTTCAAATTACTAATTCTGTCTCGTCAATGTTGTAAAGACGTTCAAATCCTCCCATCTGAGACCCTGGAACCAGTAAATTGTTTGACACGTATGTTTGATAGATGACTTCTTTAAGAAGTCACTTTTTTGAACAGAATTTTTTATACATGTCACTAATTGTCTTATAAGTAAAACAGACTATTTTCAGTTTATTTGAAAAGCATCGTCCTGACTTACTCAAGGTGGCTGCTGTTAGAAGAGTCTAAGATCCACAATCGCACAATGTGGCCCCTGACCTCTGAACTTTTGCTGTTCTCAGTTCACAAATCACACTTTGTACCTCTGTGTGCTGTAAGGCTGAGTTCACATGTCTTTGTACCAAACAGACTCCTTGCTGCTGCTGTTGACTGCAAAGACTGAAAACAAAAGCCCATCATCATCTAAATAATCTTCCCCACAACCGTTTTCTTAGCATCATATCGCATTAATCACATTTTCTGAAGCCTCACCACCATTTCCAACTCCTATCTCTCATGACGTCTCTCTAATGAAAGCCCAGCAGCTTCCTTTAACACACGAGCACATCAGCAGCATTAATTCACGTGATGCTATAATGCACGAGTGCATGCATGCAGATGTGTACATGCAATGCCCTCCTACATGTATGCATACACACATTAACATCAAATATGCACAGACAGTGGCTGCTAACTCCACTGACCCTAATAATACAACCACCCAAACAACAGCCAACGTCATTGGCTGAGTCCTTCTGGGGAATATTCTCTGCCACTGTTGTCGTGGAAACAGCAGAAAAGCAGGGACAGAAATGGAAGAGGTGTGATTTCTCTTTTTTTCTCCTGAAGAAACTCAGCGAGAGCGAGCTGTGGCGACTGATAAAGAGGTAGAGGAGGGAAGTGCTGACAGGGGGTCTTTCATTAATAACAAAATGATGTCTGATCAGAAAAGCTGAGGAGGAGAAGCCTGGATTTACAGAGACAATCAGAGAGTGTGTGTGTGTGCATGTGCATGTGTGTGTCTGACATGAGCGATGGTTGTGTGTGTGTGTGCGTGCAGCATGTATGGGTGTGCCCACCCCAAGCATGTACTCGGTACATCTCTGTGACTGTGACTAATTGTGAAGCCTGGGTACTTTGAGGCAATCCTCGGCATCCATGAATGACTCATGAAAAAGCACTAATCTCTCGGCGGAGCGAGAGAACTGAGAGGAAGAGAGGAACGGGGATGTGGGGATGCAGAGACGAGAGCAGAGATTTGCCCGAGCAGCATGCCTCTGCCGTCTCATTTCCAATCCTGACTGAGGCAGATTACACTCTCCTTTCTGCGCTGACACATTTGGGACGGATTCATAAGCCTCCGCGGGTGGATGTGTATGTAATGCTGTCCCTTAAAAAGCTGCAGCCACCACAATTGAGATGTTATTAACTCAACGAGGCTATTAACAGTCTTGCTGGGGCTCAATTATAAGTCTTAGTGTGCTTAGTGGACACTATGACAGGATAATAACTGCGGTAAATAAGGCCAGAGGATTGGAAGTTAAGCTTCAGCATTACTGTAGTGATGCTGGGTAAGAGAAAGACTCCAGGGAAGCTTAAACATCAAAGAGTCATCAGAGAGGCTTTGCATTCGGGGAGTATGCTTTTATACTTCCTCCTCTCCCTCCTATCTTTGCATATACCTGTGAACCTGACACCACAAAGACTGAATACTTGTGTGCTGTTAAGAAATGAGGAACTACTGGCGTTATGTGACCAACATGAACCCTTGTCGAGCTCATCAGTGACATCTGCTGACCAAACTGTGCAATGACAGCAGCGCACCTGCTCGCTGCACAATAAGGTGATGATAATGCGTGCACAAAGACCGAGGCTTTTACATGTTAGAACTCCATTCATCATCTCACATGCGCTCAGTATTTCACACACAGGGACACACAGACACTGATGCGTACCGGTGAGCAGGGAGACTTTGTGGAAGGTGCCCTCCAGCTTTCCCATGAGAATGTGCACAAAGCCGTCTTTGGACAGATGCCCTGCCTCTTTGGAGCTCTGGTCATAAACCACCACTTCCTGCTTCCTGCCCAGCTCCACCTGCACAAAAAGACAAACAATGAGGAAGAGAGAAAAGTTAATTATACAATGCTGCTCTGGAAAATATGACAGGGATCCATCACCAACCAGGAAGACGGAGTTCCCGAATATGACTGGAATTCTAAGCATCCAATTGTCATAATGAGCAGCGTAATTGGAAGTTCATGCATTTGGGACACACCCATCTGCACCACCTGCACCTATTATGTTACTGCACCTGAAAGGTTGGTTCTGGGGAATAACTTGGATAACGCCGCGCTTTGATAGCAGATACTGTTACTGTGTGACCCTGCGGCAGTTTCCTCGTACACCTGACCACGCTGATGCTCTCACATTTACCAGGAAGCAGCAACAAGGAAAAAGAAAATGGACTCACAAACACTTGGAGAGTTGTGACAATAAACACTGGCTGTATCTGTGCTGGCGAGTGCAACAGTAAGCAGGATGAACTGCAGGTGATTCCAGAGTAAGTTATGAAGATAAAGCATAGGAACATAAATAATGCATGAGTGCTGAGTATTGCACCGTGCAACTGTGGATGTAATATTTATTGTGCAAGATAACTGCTGAGAAGGATGTTTGTTGTGATGGTGGGTAATATCTGCAAAATCATAAAAGGCTGGCGACGTGGTGAAGGGTGTGGACATCCAGCGATGCCGTTCGTGTCAGATTGGGAGAAAGATGAGAGGATACGCGCCGATGTGACAAAGTGTTTCTGTGTTTTCGGTGAGGGAGTGTGAGCATGTGCGTGGGGCTGCACACACACACACTAGCCAGGCTGTGTTGTTCCCCATGTTGTCAGGCAGGCTTTGGTCACGTGACCGTCAGGCAGCGCCTACTGCAGCTATGAATCACTGCATCACTGAACCGCCACTGGACAGGAGAGAGGAGAGGGAGGGAGGGAGGGGGGGAAGGAGGCAGGCTTGAGGGAAGAAGGGATGGAGAGGGTGGGAGCGGAGGGGTAGTGGGGCATGGAAGGACGGAGGCGAGATGGAGAAAGACGTAAGACAAGAGAGGATGTGAAAGCTGAGGCGAGGAAAAGAATGAGGTGAAGAGAAGCCGGAGGGGGTCGAGGATGAGACAATTCAGTGCTTTTCTTTGTTTTCCTCGATTAACAAACGCATAGCATCCTGATCAACAATGGGCCAGTGAATATCTGCTGGCTTCCGGGCAAAGCCGCAGTTTTTCCAAGGCGCTACTGCTAAAAGGCACACTGGTGACAATAGCTCATGGTATACACAGCTCAGCTCCACACAGCGCGCATGGAGTGTGTCTGATTATGTTTCTGCTTACTGAGCAGCTGTAGCAGAGTGGCCGGGAAGACAGCCAGGCAGGTGATTTAGACAGGACAAGGTCAGTCTGTGGAGTCTGGTTAGGAGTTACTCTGGTCTAGTATAACCTGACTTGGCTCTGCCCGCCTGCATCCAACACCATAAAATCCTTACAACAGCATCTGTAGCATCAACTATGACAAATGTCAAAATAAATTATTTTCTTTCTTTTCATGAGCATTCTCTCTGTGTCTTTTTTTTATTTTTTACTGCAGCATAAAGTCCTGCACCTCAATGGAAACAGCAACACGATGGCTACAACTCAAAAAGGTCTTTTCTGCAAATATGACATAAGAAAACAAGAAGTTTAATTTATTAGATTATAGATTTTACAGAAATTAAAGGAACCTGGAATAAACATTTTGCTCACAGTTGTTACTAACACAACATTACATGCTATAGATATCTTACTACTTAGAGTTTTAATTTGCCTCCATGCTTGTCTTCCATCTGCTCTGTGTAAACACAGCTGGCAGTTCAGCCCAGTTCAGCTGAAAAGATCCAGAATTTTTGTCACGTGACTGTTGGTCTCAGCGGAGGCATTAATGTCATGAAGCACAAAATTTTCCTTTTTTTTTTTTTTTTACAGACTCTGGTTCAGTTGATTTTCGGCAAATTGTTACATAAAACGTGTTGAATAAAGCGATTTGGATTAAATATCACAATGTCAAGCTTGAATTTGGATAGTTTTCCAAACCAAGCAGCACGCCACCGTCAGATCGTTTAAAATCTGACAATTCTCTCAGTTTTTGCAGCATCTGGCTCGGATAAATAGCGGTAATGTTGTCTGTCAAACCCGTCGGTGGGTTTCGAGGTGGAGAGGGTTAAGATATTTAGACAACATATAAATGAGGCCTAAAGACTTTGCCACTAACATCTGTTGACAGTGTAGATTGTTATTTTCAAAAAATCATGATGGCCTCAAGCGTTGTGGCAAAAAATGTGAATCACAAGTCCCGGGTTTGAGGCTGGCTGTCATTTCTCTAATGTCAGCTGTACAGTTAAGGCTTAAAATAACGACATTATTATAGTCAGATGACTCGTGAGGCCACCAGTCCCAACATATTCTCACATACAGAAATATCAAAAGATGCAATAAGATAAAATAGCTCCAGTGATTAGACGGAGCCTGGTGGTAATTAGCATCGATTTGTCAGATGCATCAATGCGACGCCACAAACTTAAAATACACCGCATCAGTTTTCTTACTGTTGCCTTCACCTGTAGCATAGCACACGGCTACTATTAGGTATTCTTACTACGCACACGTTCAGCTCCGTGTCGTTGATTCTTTAACTCTCTTTCCATCTTTACTCACCCTGGGTAATTTTGGCTAATAATCCTAATGGGATCAGATCTAATTTGGGAGCCTGATCTCAACGCCTGAGGATTACACTCCTTTAACTGTACATACATGCGTACCAGAAATACACACAGACGTGCTCTATGGTCTTGTTTATCAGCTCCACGGTACAAAATGAGCGCAGCAGTAAAAATTGTTAATCAGTCCATTACTCACTGTTGGACAAGCGGTCGGTGATCCATTCATATTTTATGAAACAATGACTCACATTTCCCTGTTTGACAAATTTCTAACTTGCAGTTTATGCATGAATGTCTTCCGTGTATGTCGTCTGTGAAACTCTTCCACACCGTTTTAAATATTATACAGTAAATATTAAGTATTTGCTTCAATATGCAAGCACACAGTGTCTGGATTTACTAACTGCTATCACCTTTATAATGTTGTATTGATGTCCCATTACATGGACGCAGTTCAGCTGTTAACAGACAAATGAAATGCTTTTTTCATCCACATTCTTCACAAAATCTACCTTAAACATGGAAGATTTATTCAGCATTTCATCTACGAGGATGAAATTACATATCACCTCACCCGCTTTAGAAGTGTTCCCTGTGAGTGGAAAATAAATCGCTTTTATATTTAATAGAGTCTATGAATGACAGCACTGATAGTAGTAGTATGGATTATGCTTGAGATTTTGCTTGAATGACAGGTTAAAACTACACATCCCGCTGCATACGTGATATGCATGTAGTTTGCTGCAGAGTTAGAGGTCAACGACCCAGAGCTGGGGTTGGCTCTGAGACTGCAGCAGCAGCACAGATCCCTCATCCCTCTGCAGTGCTACAGCATCACTGCTATTACGGTACTGGCCCAGGCTCTCTGACGCATGCACACTGCAGGTAAACAAGGAATGCCACTGGCAGAGAGGGAAAGCAAGAGAGGAAAGAAGGGAGAAGGATGCAAGGAAAGAAAAGGGGGTCAGAGGGAAAGCTGAGACAGGAGGAGGATTGGATGTACACCGAAGAGCCACAACATTAAAACCACATGCCAAAAATTGTTTACATCTCCCTTGTGCCACCAAACCAGCCCTGACCAGTCAAGGCATTGACATGGGACCTCTGGGGGTGTCCTGTGGCGTCTGACACCAGCATGTATGAGGAAACACTTTGGGTCCTGTGGGACTGAGATCTGGGGTTTGGAGGCCAGGTCAATGTCTTATTCTTGAGCAGGTTTCGCGGTACGGTGAGGCCACCGCCATCAGGGAGTGCTGCTAATTTGGGGGTGTGTGCTTTGTCTGAAACAATCTTTAGGGAGGTGCCAAAGTAACATCCACATGAATGCCAGGAGCCACAGATTCCAAGCAAAATATTGCATTATAACAAGACAGTTAATGTCATTCAGTTCATCTGTCAGTGGTTTTAATGTTATGGCACATCAGCGTGAATAGAGAGAGAGATAAGAGGGACAGAAGGTGGCACTGGCAGACCAAATGCTACAATCCTGCTGCACCAAAGCTTTCTCTAAAGGATCTGGAGGCTGGCATCACAGCAGGACATAAACAAGGAGTGGCCACAGAAGAGTGGCTGTATTTGTCCTGTCCTTTGCAAAGGCAGATGTAAAGAAACAGAAATCTACATTTGTAAGCTTGTGCTGGATATGTGGATTTAGGAAAAAGAAAAAAAAAATGAAGGTGTTGGGCAACAGTCAAAAGCCTCTGCATGACTCTAAATGACCCTGTGTTATAAAATATGTAAGGAGTGGAAGAAAAACAAGGTCTGACACAAAGCTGCGAGTCAAGGCCTGGACTTACTGTCAATGCTCCTCTGTAGGGACAGTTTGTACACTTACTCACACACACACAAAAAACACAAACACACACACACACCGTGAAACACAGATGACGGGCAGCTTGGCGGCAAAAGATATCCGTGGAATTGTGGAAACACAACTCTGGCGTAAAGTAAGTGCTTGTGCAAGATCCTGAAACATGGTTCCCCCTGACCTCAGTAGTGCTACTGACCAGTGACAAGGTCAGTGCTGAGCGGGACAGTATGTGTGTTTGTGTGTGAACTGGTCTGTGACACAACATCAGCATAAACAGTCTAAAAATGGACCTGCATTCCTGAGGCGCAGTCTGGGTCCTCTCAGATCGTCCACTATGGGATGTCTCACAGAAAACAAGACGACTGCAGTACGAACCTTCTGCAGCTAATCGAGTTTTCAGCTCAAGTTGTAATTTCTGAACTGTGAGGAGCTCAGAGATAAAAAAAATACCGTAAAAATCTTTCTCTTGACAAGATCTCGGCCCCGTATGTCGACACATCAACCACGCTGTATATCATGCACTTACTGTTTAGTCT